AAAATTTTGATTTGAAATGAAGGACAGGCTAATACCACAGCAGAGAAGGAATTCTCATTCTCATTGTCTCTTATCACAATAATCTTTTGAGAAAAAAAATGAGGTTGCAAAAACAGAAGTATAAAAGTAGCCATCATAAATGAGAAAAACAAAATGACATCTGGTTCTCATCTCATGCTTCAGTATGGTTCCCTGACACACGAAATGCGATGTGGGTCTAAGTTCCAAGTTACTTTTCTTTCACTGTGGTCCTTCCAAAAATGGAGGGAAGTGACAAAGGCAGCAGAAAAATTATTTAATATCACAAAATACCCTATGAGAGGCATTTGGATTCCACCAAAACCTAAAGTTTCTAGTGAAATCCAATATGAAGAGGCAAAGCTGAGAGGTAGCTGAGAAACTTATTAATACCAAAGAATGCCAAACATTTTTAAAAGTACAGGCCATTTCATTGGATAGAAACCACAATAAAAACATGGAACAAAATGTTCAAATGCACTTTCCAATCTTAGCAGAAAATTTCAAAAGTGATTTACATTCTATGATGTACGCCTTCTTTAAAAACTGATTTTATCTGATTTTGAAATCTTTTCTTTGATAGCAGAGGACTTGCCTACATCAGAGAATTCATTTCAAAAAGTGAGCAATGACAAAGAAAAAAAATACCCTGCATTTTTAGTATTTCACCCACTCATCTATTTTAGCTTCCATATTTTTCGAAGTGATTGATGTGACTGCTTCTATAAACAAATTAGAAATAATTCTGAAAGAGAAAGGCGCAAGAAACAGCTTTGAAAAATCCCCAAAAGTCACAGGATGCCATCCACTCCTCAAGATATTCAGTGTATTTGTTGAAATGTTAAGCATAAGGTTAACCACTTATCCTGAAAAGGAAAGATTTAATCATGACTGCTGAGAGTTTTGTTTCATGGGGCAATGCTTATCTACGCTAAGTCAAATACAACATCCTTTTTTCCCAAATAAACCACCCACAAATCTTCACATTTATTAGAGCAGAAGGAAATTCCTTTGAAGACCCAATCCAGGAATTTAACGGTATTTCCCTTTAGATATCTAAACAGGAATTGGCAGATACGTACTCAGAACCATGCTGACAGCTAAACTGAATTTAGAATTAGAATTAATTTAATCTGTGAGAGTGCACTTTCATTTTGTATTTGGACTGAAGAAGATGATTTCTTAAATCACATAGTCTGCTGCTTAGGGAAATAAGATTTCTGCCTTAAAATTAAAGGCCTTCAGCATTAGCTTCTAACATTCCAAAAGCTCCCTGAGACAGTGGCCATTTAAACAAGCAGGACTTGAACGTCCCAAGAGACAAGAACTCTACACCAAGAGAAACACTTTGTGTTTATATCCCAGTAAACCCAGCTAGCTTCTTGGCTGTGGCTTAATCCAAAACGTACTGAAGTCAAGCCTCCCAGCTGTGTATTTGGGATGTGGTCCTGATGCAAGTTAGATCTTAACTCTACACTGCTTCATACCCGTTTAAGATGCAACTGATTTTTCCTGTGCTAAGCAGGAAAGACACAAGTAATATTTTGCCACCATTAAGCATTTGGCAGATTCAGCATTGGGCACATGCTGTGCACCTATACCTCAAGGCAGCCCTGCTTGCCAAATGAGTTCTGCAGCACTTACTGATACAGAGCAACACACACATCCACTCTCGCAGACATAAGTTTATTATAATGCCTTTCAACCCCAAAATCCAAATTTTGACTGGTCTGGCATTGCAGCAGCAAAGCTGGTGAATGAGGCTGTTAGGGGACGGAAGGAAGCATGCAATACCAAAGTCAAACATCAAATTCCACTCCCTCTTTAACACTGGATATCTGTATCTTCAGGTAATTTCTTACCATTAAAGAATCTTAGTAAAGAAAAAAAAAAAAGTCGTCTTTAACTAAATCACTGTAATTATGTTCAGTTACAATGATTACTGCAGTTTTGGGTACGGCTGGTGCCACCTGGGTCAGAAATGCTACTGCTAGGCAAAACATACAGAGCCTGGGGCATGAAAGCTATTAGCAGCTGCATGAAATCTTGCACCATCACTCCCAGAATGTTATCTGATATAATTAATGCATTTCAACTTGAAACAACATGCACGATCTCACCTACGTCTATAATCTAGTAAATAAGTGTAAATATTTCTGTTCAAAGCTTACTACATCTTTCACATCAATAACAGCTGTTCAGTTCTAAAAGGAGAAAAAAGCTCACAATAGAAAAGATCAAGATCTAGTATCCCACACAATGATCTAGATGACAGCCTCAAAAAAAGCAAAACCAAAATCCATTGGCACAGGCAATATCTTTTTTAGGCCAATTGGTAAGAGTAGAGAAGTTAGACCAGCCTTCAGGTGCTTCTGGTCTTGCTTACAGAAGGCCAGTATTAACTAAAGATAATTTTGGCTTTAAAACAGTAAGTAACACAAAATTTCTCAGAAAACAGAAGCTCATTAAAAAAAAATACTTTTATTTTCAAACAAAAAGGTTTCAGTTTCCTACAGAAGAAAGACTACATTCTCCCATGAAAAGTTCAACCGAATTTACTACCTCCTTTTCCATTCCATGAACTTCTGACAGCAACTTTTCCAAATAATCTTTTTAGGAAATGTGGATACAGTGTCTGACTTAGAAACCCTAAGCAAGCAATTTGGTGTTTCTCTTTTCAGTCTCATGTGTAACTCTATAGATATATATATATATCCTTTTCTTTGTACAGCATCTAGTACAACTGGACTCACTCTCAGCTGAGGCTACTAGATAGGATTAAAACCTATGAAATAAAAGCAAAAGCCCCTTTTGTGTTACCAACAGTACTTTACATTGTGCAAGAAGTAAAAAAGAGGGATTATATCTAATTTGCTTGCTCAATTGTAATTTCACTTTTCTTAGAAAGAGAAATAATCCTGTAGGACTGAAGACATTTCCCTTTACCTGTTTGATATATGAATGTTAAGCAGCTTTCTGCTCTTGGAGAACACTAGCTTTCTTCTTGTCTTGACTCCTGCAACATACTTAGCTACTTCATGGATAAGCAATATTCTTTTCAGTTGGTAGGAAATAATTTTTTGGTAACACACAGAGAACAAAGCCTGTCTACCACTTCACATTTCACAGAAAACTAAAGAGGCTGTTATTGTGTTAGACTTATTTTCAGAAAAAAAAAAATTACAAAATGGTCTACGAATAAGTCTCCAAACCCAAGACTGATCGAGAAATAAAAAGCTAAATAAAATAAAGTCTGTTTGTCTTTCCATGGACAGGAAAAGATGCATCTTGAAAGCCAGGAAAAGGCTCAGTTCCATGGTATGCCATGAGGAACGTGTCCATTTGATGCCTGTTCTTCGCCACACTGTAATCTTGGTGCAAATAGTGCACCGACTGAATAAGTATCCACCTACCCAAGTATGTGAACACTTATCCCCAAGTAACTTCTTGTTATCAAACTCTACTGTTAAGATTCCTGGAAGCCACTGAAAATAAATGTCCCCATTTCCCCATCACCTTTTAAAACCCATCAGATCTGTCCTTATGACGTGCCCTATTTGGTATACCCTTCAACATGCAATTTCCTATTCTTTTTATAAATTAAAATCTCCCTGTATTCAGTTCATAACAATGCAAATTTTGTTAAGCCCCAAAGAATGTTTCATATCATGGAAAATTCTTTCCTAATCCTTGCTGTAAGACTAATAATTTCAACATGTACCAAGTTGCGGGATACAATTATTCTCAGAAGTATTTAAAAAAATTGTGGTTTTTTTTCAGCCACACACTTCTTTCTTCTTTTCACAAGTGACTCAACACGCAGATTGAAAACATACCTGCAAACATCAGTTCTGAGACATCTGGTTTGACATGGAGACATGTAAAGAGTGGGAGAGCACACTGTGCATTATTGATTTTCTCTTTCATCTTGCTCAAAGTTGTGTCCATTCTCTGCATGAAAAGAAAGACATTATGTCCAAATGGGCCCTATACAGACCTGCTGGTATTTGGGACACTACTCACTTCTCTGAAATCCTTAAAGAGAAGGAAAATGGACAAATTCAGTCACTTCCAAGAAAAACAGAAGAGAAGAATTTGTAAAAGGAAGTAATATGCTTGAATGCCTGTTAAATGCACAATTCAGGAAGGAAGGAGTGGGAGAAGACACGACAGGAAGATGAAATAAATGTGTTATAGAATCCAAAACAAGACGGCCAGAAAGAAAACAGTATTGCTGGACAAAGCAAGTTCTTTCCCTCTGCTACTGTAAAAGACAAAAACAAGGAAAAACCACAGGCAGAACTGTCATTAATGATCATGTAGTGTTTTTCAGTCTGTGCTGTTCCTGAAAAGTCAGCAAAGATAACTAAGGAAAGCAAAAGGACTATTAAGAGGCTTAAGATTTGCTAACCAAGGGTCTAAATCTCCCCCAGAAAATATTCTGGACTCTGCAAACAAGACAACAAAAAGTCATTATAGCATAACAGCACTAAGATGTGTTACCTGTACATAACCAACAACCTTATTTCCATTTTTCACTGACTGCACCAGGTTCAGATTTAAGCTAAACATCTGTGCATTTGTTTAACTCCTTAGCATACAGGGCCTTCTAACCAACCTCATAGGATCATTAATAGCCCTTCATCGTCAGAAACTTACCCTATCACAGTGACTAAAAGGTGTGTTGCCCATTTTTTAGTATTTTAGAGTGTTCAAAACCTGATGGCAATCATAGAATCATTAAGATTGGAAAAGACCTCAAGGATCATCAAGTCCAACCATCAACCCAACACCACCTAACTCACTAAACCACGTCGCGAAGCACCACATCTACACGTTTCTTGAACACCAAGAATGGTGACTCCACCACTTCCCTGGGCAGCCTGTTCCAATGCCTGATCACTCCTTAACTGAAGAAATTTTTTTTAATATCCAGCCTAAACCTTCCCTGGCACAACTTGAGGCCATTTCCTCTTGTCCTATCAGTGGATGCTCTCGCAGTAATTGCAGCCCAGGATACACAGATCCAGAAACTGCTCCCAGGTCAGGTTGAGATCCTGCAGAATACAGTTCAGGTGAAACTCCTGGATGGACAGCTTCTTCATCTCACTAGCAGTAAGATGCTGCATCAGTACAGGGCTGCCAAAGGTCAGGCAATCCATATCTTCCGTGGCAGCCACGTAGACCTTCCCAGCTTCACCAAGACAGCGCAGCTGGCTTTGGCCTCCCCTGGCGCAGACACGATGCCCATCAGCGTTAGTAACTTCTTACACTCAGTGTGCTGCTGGGTCACTTTGACCAGCCTCTTGCTGTGCTTCTCGATGTTGTTCTCCTCTCCAGCCTCCTGAGCCTCCTGCAGGTGTTTCTTGGCCTCGGTCTGGCACTCAGTCTGCTTCACCAGCTCACACAATTTCATCTGCGGGGTTTGCCATCATACACGTAAACTGGCTTGATGCTGATCTCCACCATGCGGATGGTCCAGTAGAACATACCCATCAGGTGGCTCATGGTCTCACCCTCCTCGTTCTGAAGTACTTCAGCTCCCTGCCGCACGGCGATCAG